AGCCTTTCCTTATAATATTATAATATATAATAATATAATATAATATTCATTCATATTGTTAATAAGTAGATATTATAAGAATTAAAGCAATGAATTTTAGTATTAGAAAGAACTTAGGATTCATCTAGTTCAGTATAATATGCCAAATTGTAATATGAATTTTTTATTCAATGTTACTGATAGGTAGCTGTATGGCCTCTGAAAATTTTCAGTGATGAAGCACTCTACCTAACAAGGCAGTCCATTTCTTTTTCTTTCTTTCATTCTCTCTCTCTCTCTCCTCTCTCTCTCTCTCTCTCTCTCTCTCTCTCTCTTCTTTCTTTCTTTCTTTCTTTCTTTCTGGTGCAGCTTTAATTACTAGAAAGTTCTTCTTTGTATTAAGCTCAAATACCTACATGTAACTTTCAACAATTGTTGCTAATTCTAACCTGTGGAATAAGTTTGCAAGTAGGCTAAACTAGTTAATTTCTAAAATTCTTTCAGACTTTGACATTCTATAACTTCTATGGTGGTTTTTAAAAAAATAATGAATTTATTTTTAGTTTTCAACATTCATTTCCACAAGATTTTGAGTTCCAAATTTTTTCTCCACCTCACCCTTCCCCCCATCCTGAGATGGCATGCATTCTGAATACCCTTTCCCCTAATCTGCCCTCCCTTCTATCACCCTCTCCCTTCTCTTATCCCCTTTCCCTTCTATTTTCCTGTAGGACAGGATAGATTTCTATACCCCATTGCCTGTATATGTTATTCCCCAGTTGCATGTAAAAACAATTTTTAACATTTGTTTTTAAAGCTTTGGGTTCCCAATTCTCTCCCTTCCTCCCTCATTGAGATGGCAAGCAATTTGATACAGGTTATAAGTATATTGTCATCCAAAACATTTCTATAGTAGTCATGTTGTGAAAAACTATATTTCCCTTCATCCTATTCTCCTCCCACCCTCACCTCCACCCTGTTTATTCTATTCTCCCTTTTGACCCCGTCCCTCTTTAGAAGTGTTTGCTTCTGATTACCCCTTCCCCCAATCTGTCCTCCCTTCTGTCATCCTCCTCTGTCTTATCCTCTTCCCCTCTATTTTCCTGTAGGGTAAGATAGATTTCTGTACCCAATTGAGTGTGTATGTTATGCTCTCCTTAAGCCAAATCCAATGAGAATAACATTCACTCATTCCCTCTCACCTTCCCCCACTTCACCTCCTTCTATGGTGTTTTCAAAAGAACACACTGGTAGCTATATGCAAGATGAAGCATTGTTAACTTGTAACTTAGATATATCTACTCTGTATTACATCTTTAATGAAAAATTAAGATGGCTTTAAAGGACAGAACAAAGGTAAAAACTGGACTCTTTTTCATTCTTTTCTTTTCTTGACTTTTGTACAATCTCCCTGCAGGTCTGCAGTATAATTCTTTTTAGCTGAGCATGTTGAATTGCTCCCTGCTATAGATATTTATATCTCCTGTATCTCATTCTCTTTAGGTCTTGATTTCTGAGGATGAATAATCTGTTGCACTGATTCATATTTAAGTGGTAATGAGTATTATTGATAATGATTTTTATAACCTATATCTCTATATTCTAGAGATATAATGCCTCAACTCAAAAGATAGATCCTAATGATGGTGTATCAAAATTATGTCAGTACAATAGGGCAACTTGTGATGACCTCAAACTATACTACTTTAAAAACCTCCCCACAAAAAGGGCTATTCTACATTCCACTAATTAGGCTTCTTCTCTTCTAGGGGTCTGGAAGAAGGGTGTATGTGTATGTATGTGTGTGTGTTAGGGAGGAGGACAGGTGAATCTAGGTTATAAGTAAAACCAAAAGGCCTGTACTGCTCTGGCCACATAATAATCAGGCTAGCAATCAAAATTTACACTCAGAACATACGCAATACTTTTCCTCCAAAAGTAGCCTTTAGAAAACTTTGAAGTTCAATATGAATGAAGAATTTTGTGAAAACAACCAAAATTATTTTCAGCTATAATAAGGAAAGAAAAGGAAGTAGTTATCAGATGATAATGTGTATTTTGAAAACAATGCATTATGTCATTTGGATTTTAAATAGCTAAAAAAGATCAACACACTTTCCATCTTTAAGGTTTTGCATTACTATCCACGTTAGTAGCTGTTATTTTGACTGTGTATAATGAAACTATGCTGACTCAAGGTGAAACTGCTGATCACTAAAATACTCAGATCTCTTAGACAGAACTTTTATCCAGCCATAAGTCCTTTGTCCTAAACTTGTAAGGCAATTTTTTCCAAGTATAAAACTTCACATTTCAGTTAAATGCCACCTTATTAGATTCAGTCTAGTAGTTCTAACTTATAAATATCTTTTTGGATCTGAACTCTTTTTATTCCTTTCGGCTATCCCTCCTGATATCCTATGCCCACAAAATCTCTATCTGTAAAAGTCTCACATACATTCATAGATTGTTACTATATGGACTAGAAAGATATAATACTAATCATTTCCCAATTGGTTGAAAAGAAATTTTTCCCCCTAAGTCACCTTTTAATATCAGATACTTAGAAATGAGAATTTATGTCTCCAATTATGTTTCGCTAAAAGACTTTGTTTTCCTCAAACAACAGTATTACCTGTCTTATTTTTCTCAGAAAAATACAAAGGACTAACTGTGAAAAACTTCATGTATAGCATGTATGTATCATGCTCTTGGCCAGGATTCTGGGCACTGGTTTAAAAGACATAATTTGTCCTGTACATGTTTGGGAAAGAAATATTCCCAAGGGAAGCCTTACTATTTTGAGTAGCCTTACTACATTGATAGGTTTTGTGGCTATCTTGCATAGTTATATTCTTTAAATATGTATAGTGTAAGATTTTTATGATTGAAAGTTAAAATCATGGACTTCTAGGTATTTTGGAATTTCTTTCAAAAGAAGAAGGTCTTTTCATATAGAGTGAAATCAATGTTACTTGGCCTCAGTTTTTACCTAGTCTCCTTTACTCTGAAACACACACACACACACACACACACACACACACACACACACACACACACACAAACTATGATGTAGTAGAAAAACACTGATTTTAAAGTTAGAAGGCCTGGGTTCAAATGCCAATTCTGCTACTCCTCATCTGTGTGACCTTAGACAAGTTATTTATTCTCTCCAAAACCGTTACCTTATAGGCTAAAAAAAATTTTTTCAGGCAACTGAACAAGATAATTTTTAAAGTTCTATCTAGCTCAAAAGTCTATGACCTATTGGGCCATGATAGCATGACCTCCTATTTGTGGCCCCCTCACTAAGTAGCTAGATGGTTCAAGAAAGTTCTCACTTGGCTCTGGACAAACAATGGCACAGAATGCACATGCAAGGCATTTATGACAGCCACTGGGAAGGAGCTATCTCTGGTCCTGAATTTGCTTTTTTTTTTTTCAGTCGAAGCAGTTAATTAATTGAGAGCTCCATGAATCAAAGAGAATTTGTAAACAGCTGTCTTCATATGGCAACTGGAGGCACTTTAGGAAAAGCATAGCTCCTCTCATCCAACAGCAGACTCTCATAGGCATACATGTAAAGGTCAGTAGGAAGCCAATCAAATCCAACAAGCATTTATTATATGCAAGGCATTGTTAGGTGCTAGAGATAAGTAGACAAAACACAGTTCCTGCCCACAAGGATTTTAATTTCTATTGGGGAACTTGGGGGTGGGGTGCTGGTGGCAAGATATATAAATAGGGAAGAAAGAGAGAGAGAGAGAGAGAGAAGAAGAGAGAGAGAGAGAGAGAGAGAGAGAGAGAGAGAGAGAGAGAGTGAGAGAGAGAGAGAGAGTAATTTGAGGAGGAGGAAGAGAGAATACTAAGTACTGAAGGGATCAATGAATCAGGAAAGGCTTCCTGTAAGAAATCATGCCTGAGTGGAGCTTTGAAGGAAGGTTGTGATTCTGAGAAGTGGAGGCAATGAGATAGTGCATTCTATGGAGGCAGAGCAGCCTATGATGACTCACAGAGGCAGATGGTGCATTCTAGGGTTGGCAGTAGCCTGTGCAGACCCACAGAAGCAGGAGATAGAATATCAAGTAGACCACTTTGGCTTTAAGGTAGAGTATATGCTAAGGGGAATAGAATGCAATAAGCCTAGGCAGGTAGGCTGGAGTCATATTGTGGAATGCTTTAAATAACAAGTGGAAGAGTTTGTATGTTACCCTAGAGGTACTAGAAAACTATAAAAGGTTCTCAGGCATAGAAGTGATGTAATCAGTCTTGTTCTTTAGGAAGATTACTTTGACATACTTTTTTTGGAGGATGGATTGGAAAAGGGGAAAACTAGAAGCTGGGAATCCAATTAGGAAGCTCTTGCAATAGTCCAGGTGAGAGGTAACAAGAGTCAGAACTAGGATGGTGAAAAGTGGATAGAAGGTGACAAATGTGAGAAATTTCATGCAAGTAGAATCAACAGTACTTGGCAACCTATTGAATATGGGGAGTATGAGAGAGAGTGAAAAACTAAGGTTGATTTTGAAGGTACAAGGCTGAGAAACTAGAAGGATGGTAGTACCTTCAACATAGTTTGAAGGAGAGAAGACAAATTCAACTTGCTGGTCATTCCTTAAGCCAGCTAAGTAGTTTCTTTTAGAATTGTGAATGGAATGTGACCAAGGTTCTGGCCACTTTTTCAGGAGACATATCTCATCCTGTGTATACTTAGCAAATAATAATTTCCATATGAGGTTCCACTAATTACAGAGAATCTATATGAGATTAGTGAGATTTGTAGTTTAGTTCTAAACTAGCCAATATATTTAGGTCAAAATTTAATGATGAGAGTTGGTCACAGTGTATCTTTTCTTTAGGCTAGAGCCTGAGTATCATGTTTTGGAGGACCCACCTATGTTGAAAGATATAGCCCAGAGGCAGAACCTTTTTAAAAAGATGAAAAACACCCCCCCTCCCCATCCAAGGCAGGCTATGTTAAGACTGGACTCTCCCGGGAAGCTGAGTGGACAGAGGGAGTCATGAGGAACCCTGTGAGCAGCCAATATAGCTCTTTCCTTTTCTGGAGGATGCCCATTCCTGAACTGGACCTGTCCAAGTTGGAGGGCCTGGGACTGCTGGACATGTCCACTTATAAGACCCGAGGCAACAACAGCAGAAAAATGTCTGAAGAGGAGCCAAGTGAAGCTGGGCAGAAGAACTGTCCTGAAGGTGATGCCCTACTTGAGTACAGCACCTTCAACTTCTGGAGAGCCCCTATTGCAGGCATCCACTCCTTTGAGTTGGACTTGATTTAAGGCTAAAACCTCTCTCCCTATCACCATTTCTGTACTTTCTTTTTCTTTGGCCCCTTCCTCCCTACACTTCTTTTTAGACCTGCTTTTCCCCTTCATTGTGTTGAGGTGGTGCTAAAAGAATCTGCCATGGAATGGCTATTTATTTATTGTTATTTATTTTCCTCTATTTTGTACCCCCACAGGCACTTCTCCTTCCCTACCAAGTCCTTCAAATCACTTCAGAAGAGGTATGGTTCTTCAAACAAAAGGTCCTAGTACCCAAATTCCTTTCTCTCCTGAGACTAGCTTTAGAAAACATGTCTGACTGGGGGGCAGGCACAAACCAACCGACCTCAGAGTCAAAGAGGAGCAATACAGTAGTGAGAGCTGTGGTAAATTGGTTCTTGACCCCATTGTTACCAGCTTTATAGACAGTTTACCAGCCTTTCCATCTCTACCCCTAGGTCAGTTAGCATGGGTGGCTTTCTCATGAATCATTGAAAATTCTGGGATTTCTTTTTGGGATTGTCTGCTATAAAAAGGTAAAGCCTGTTCCAAACAATAAAGTAGCCAAGTGTCTTTCCGGACCAAGAAGTAAGGGATGAAGACTTAAGCCCTGAGGCAACAGATGTTGAAAAATGGAGCTAAGTGAAAATACTTAAGCAAATTCTGAAATAATTGAAGCCCTTCCCTCCCTTCTATGGAGCTATGTTCTTTCCTCCTCAAGACTTCTCTCTTCCTCAGCTTTGTTCTTAACTGAAGAACATGGGTAGGGATACAGAAAGTTTACTAAGAAAAAAACACAAATCTCAAACTTTTAACATGTTATTTTGCTGTTTATGACAGTCCCATGGTGTTGGGAGCAGGTCCTTACAGCCTGTTTTGTTCTTAGCTCCATCCTGTAACCTACAATCTCAAAGGACCTCAGCTTCAACCCCTTTAGAAATTACCAGCCCAGCCATCTCTAATGGTTCAGGTACCTTGAGGGCATAAAATGAGATGATCAATACCTTCTTCACATCCTGAGACTCTTTACTACACTATCTTTGAGAGTTCTCCACTCTTTCCCCGTTATTTGTGCTGACAATTCCTCACACTCATCTAATAAAGCTGTTTAATCCCCCCCCAAAAAAAGATGAAAAACAGGAATCTTTCAATTTAGTCTGTGAATTTCTGAAATGTCTTATGAAAAATTTCCAGGTAAACAAGACCAATTACTTATATGTAGACATTCACAGCTTTCTCCAGGATGCCACATAGCTTATTGAGTGCCCACAAATGTCAAATCCTGTTACCATTCATTAGGAGGAAAGGGTCAATCAACATTCACTGTTGCCTGGGCTGAATAAGAGCCAGTATGTAGATAGCTTGTTACCTCTCACCAGGATGCTAAAGCAAGGGAGCAGTCAGAAGCTGATATCAAGAAATAAAGTTTGTCAGAGGAAGAGAATCAGAGCAGCAAAAGGCAGAGATAGGATGACATAGAGGAATCAGGATAGAAGCCTCTCTCATACATGATGGGAGTAAGGGGACAGTAAATGTAGGAGTTTTCAGGAATGAAGACAGATTGCTATAACTGACATGTACTTTTCTGTGGTTTCTTTTTTGACTGAGATTTTTGACTGGACATGGTAGTCATACCCATCCTTGTATTCTTACATCCCTGATGGGATTCAGGGATTGGATAATCACTATAACTTTTTGTTCATTTAAAGAAAAGTAAAATGTGACAAAACAAGGCACACCAGGGATGGTCACAGGGTCATTGATCATAAATTTTAAGCTGGAAAGGAACTCAGAGTCCATCTAATTCAACCTCCTCATTTTAGGGATAAGGAAACTGAGGCCTACGATAGTTAATTGGCTTGCTCAACGTCATGCAGCTGGTAAACATCAGTGGCAATATTGGCAGCCACTTCCTCTGACTCCAGAACCAGTTCTCATTTGAGTATACTACAGTCTTCCTTTAAATAGACTACCACATGAAAGAACCATTTACCTGGCATCCTCTGGGAAATATTTCAGTGAGTGATTTTTCCATATAATTGGTTTGCTCCTTTAAGATTCTAAACTTTTTTACTATATTATTTTAATGGAAATGTTTCTATATCACATGCATAATTGCTTCTTAAAAATAAGATATTCAATATAATTTAACCTTTCCTTGATGACTCAAGGTCATCATTATAAATATTAATTATCCTACCATACTATAATTCACTGTTTTCTTCAAGGATGCTGGATTTCGTAGGCATTCTTTCCCTATAGTAAGTGATCTTGGGTTGCTGTGACTTTATAGTTTTGTCCTTATCTAAGCTCTGCTATCAGTTGTCACTTCTCCTATAGTAATCTTTCTACCTCTAAATTGTAAATTTAGTTACCCACAGTTGTTTGTGAGGCTGGAACTAGATGGCCTTTGGGGTAATTTCCAACTATGAAATTCCATGGTTCAAGAGATCAATAGAATGAGAGTAATAGGCTGAAATCTTCTTAGTTGAGAATGGGGAAAATCTGGAAATGGGTTATTTCCATCTACATAGCCTATTCTTAGGCTTGGTCTATTCTTTAAACTAATTGATTAATTAATTTTACAAGCATTTATTATCTCTACTTTCCTCTGCCTTCCTACTGAACAACAATAAAAGAAAAAGAAATTCCTCAAAATAAATGTGCATAGTTTAGCGAAACAAATTTCTGCATTGGTCATGACCAAAAATGTATATTTTATTCTCCATGTTAAGTTCATTAGCTTTCTGGCAGGAGGTGAATGATGTGTTTTTATCTTTAGTTTTCTGGATTTATGATTATTCTTTGCACTGATTAGAGTTCTAAGTATTTTAAAGTTGTGTTTACTTATAATATTGTCATGGAATAAATTGTTCTAATTCTTCTCAATTCACTCTGCATTAGTTCTCAGGGGTCTTCCTAGTTTTTTCAGAAATTGTTCATTTTATTATTTCTTATGACACAAAGATATTCTATCATATTCATAAATATTATCCAATAGATGGGCACCCTCCACCTTGTTTAAAATTTTTTACTGTGAAAAGAGCTGCTAAGGGGCAGCTAGGTGGCACAGTGGATACAGCACCAGCCCTGGATTCAAGAGGACCTGAGTTCAAATCCGGCCTCAGACACATAATAACACTTACTAGCTGTGTGACCCTTCGCAAGTCACTTAACCCCATTGCCTAACCAAAAAAAAAAAAAGAGCTACTAAAATGTTTTAGAACATATGGGTCCTTTTCTTCTTTCTTCGATCTATTTAGTGTATAAAACTTGGTCTGTTTTTGAGAACCCTTCTTCCAACTTTGTTGGAAACATAGAATTTACAGTTATGCTGATATGTAACTCAGGTAAGGAAAGGAGAAAGCTCATAGTAAGAAGCCTTAAAATCCAGGATTAAGATGAAGATAGGAACAAGTAAACTCCCTGTAGTAGCTTTTCCCAAACTGTGTTTTGTAGAAACCTAGTATTCTGGAGGATGTAGGTATGAATGGAGGTTCTGTGAGAAAATTTTTATGGTAGTGCTTACCCCCTCTAAAATTTTGACTGCTAAATAACCCATCAAAAATGCTTGTGTGACAATTTTTTGGCATGAAAACAATTTCCTTTAATTCATTCCAAATTTTCCTCAGTTCTCCCTTTCCTCTCCGTTATTTTATGCCTCCAGGGTCCCCAGATCAGAAATAATTGGTTCTGTCAATGTATTTAAATACTAAAAGTACTCCATGACCAAATCGGTTTGGAAAATGCTAACATAGATTCACTACATAATTCTGAGAAGTTATATGAATGAAAAATAGATGGTAGAGCATAAGCTTCCTGAGAGCAGAGAACTTTTTTTTCTTTGCCTCTCCAGTGACTTGCACATTGCACATATACAACAATTGGCATATGGCAATTCTCAATAAGTATTTATTTTATTGATCTGAATCCTTGAGGAAGGTGATTCTTATTGCTACTATGAAAGTAATGAACTGCTTGCTGAGTGGGGAGGCCACAGTTAAGGGAGCCTTTTCAATCTCATTTTCAACTCCCTTTTGTGCATTGTCTTCCCCCATGTAAGCTTCTTGTGGGAAGAGACTTTTTCTTTTTGCTTGGGGATTTGCATCCCTAGCACTTACTTAGCACAGAGCCTGGAAGTATTCTTCCTCCCATCCTTTTTTCCTTTCTTCCTTCATTCCTTCCTTCTTTCCTTCCTCTTTTTGGAATATACACTTAGCAATGGAATCTCTAGGTTAAAGTATTTGAATATTTTAGTTACTCTGCATAATTCTAAATTGCTTTCTGGAATGGTTTTACCAATTCATAGCACCACTCAAAATGCATTAGTGTGCTCATGTTTCTACAACTTCATTAACTATTTCTTAAAGTCTCACTCTAATTTCTTATGCAAATGATCCTGGGTTCTTAAAAGTTATTCTGCTGGAGCAGAAGCTCTGGCTGTACTTTCTGTGCTGGAAAGAACTGACATTTCAGTGGCCAACTGTATGCCTATGGTCTGAGAGGCAAGGTGATGAATTTTCTGCCACAACTGTCATTTACTAAGGTTATGGTCTGCATTACATACTGAAAATATAGGAAATCCAGATGATGCTTTTTCATAGACAATTAGAAAAAAATTACTTCTGGAAGCCTAAAATCACTTTTCTGGCTTATTTTTCTAGAGTGCCAAAGGGAATTCATTAGCTTTAGTAAGCTTTCGTTCTCATTTGAAAAATTCACCCTTTAGGCACAAAAGATGTTAAGTCAATCCAAAGTGTTAATATTTAAAAACTCTTGTATTGGGTATGTGTATAAACATTCTAAGTCAATGAAATAGTAAGCATTTCATTCCACAAATACCCTTTTCCCTGCCTATGCACAGTCACTGGATGTATGCTATTCTTTTTGGAGTTAGTTTGCTTGGTTAGGCGATAATGAGAACTTTTCCCAGTCTGAAATGGATCATAGCCAAGGTACCAAGTGCAAATCTCCTAATATGATATCTTAGTAGCTGCATACTCTGCTGACATAGC